GCGGCGGCGGCGGCAGCGGTGGTGGTGGTGGTGGGGGTGGTTGTTGGCGGCGGCGCCGGCGGCGGCGGCGGCGGTGGTGGTGGCGGTGGCGGCGGTGGTTGCTTTTGCGGCGGTGCGGCGGTGGTGGTGTGGCAGTGATTGGTATGCCTCTCGGCGTGTTGAAGTGTTTGGTATGGTATGGATGCACGCAAAATATGTTTGGTCTCTTTTGGGCACCTTACAAGTCAGCATTCGGTTTGCTAGGTTCCCATCTGCCATGAGGCTTCACATTTCCAATCTGACATGAAACTCACCGAGCACGTCTTACTAGATCCCGCACCCTGATGATCCATTACTCCACGTCACTGGCACAGACTCTCAAAAACTATTTGTCGCAATTTGCAGGGGCTTGCTGCCAGGAATCTTCAAACTTGTCCTTGAAGAGCTCCGTCAGCTGCTTCACTTTATCTGCAGAAGTCCCGTCAAAGATGCTTCACAAGGCAGCAAGGCTGAGCTTGGCAAGAGCATCAAGGCTCGTGCCCAGGTAGACGTGTTGCAGCACAATGCACTTGGGGGCATATGATGGATCTCCATCGACTGCAAGTCATTACAAGTCTTCTCTCTCATTTGCAACTCTAGTTCGGAACTTGACGGCAGCTGGTGTCTCAAGAGGCGTCTGTTGGCTTCAGCGGGTCCTTCGGCACCTTTCTCTCTTTGCTCCATGGCCAGCAGTATGCTAATCGAAGTTTTCGCCTGAGTGGTAACAATAAACTAACAAACCACAAGGTGTCGCCTAGCGTGCCTTCTTGCAGCACATGATGCCATGACATCACAGACTAACGGTGACCCGTGCTTCTCAAAGACAAAGGTTGTTTTCCTGCTCCCACCAAGCAGCTACATTGATTCTCTAGTAGTGGCTATAGCACATTGCGGATTGCAGAACATGTGGGGCTGCTTCAGAGAGAATCACTAAGGAGCTGCCAGCTGCCGAGCGCATTGACATCGCCACTGTCTCGACATCCTCCTTGTACTGTGGCCTGATCATCAATGCCGGTCTTTCGTCACGTAGCCTATCATTATTCACAAGCCCCGCGCGACCTTCCCGTCTACTGAGCCGGGGAACCCTTGGCCTAGCTGAAATCTACATCAGTGGCAGGATGTAGTGCACCCCTGAAGTGACTTGAACGTGTGTCTCCTCGTGCATTAAATGAGCTTGAGCACTTGCACTGTACATGTCGGCTTAGGCCCCAGCAGGATGATCCAATGCTTCACAGTCTTGGGGTCCAGGTCATGCCTGCCAGCAATCGAATTTGCTGGGAGCGTTGGCTCAAGACCTCTCACCCAGACGACCTTTGTACGTACGACCTCTGTGCCGAGCAATTCAGACAAACCCACGTCTTCTGAGTCGCCTTCGCCAGCCATTCTTGCTGCTTGGTGTTGGCGGCCAGTCCCCGCTGCTAACTTCACCTGGAGATGATGATGAGCAAATTTGGCGCAAATCAACCATGCAAAGGCGTCTCCTGCGTTCTGTCTCTCTATCGCAAAGTTCTGACCAAGGCACAGATGCTGGCCGGATCCAGCTTGGCCTGAGCCGCCATCCTTTTCAGCCCAAGCCCGGCGAAGATGAACATATACCTTAGGCAGTCAGCTCTCTTAGTTGTTGAAGGTGGCGGGGCTCCCGCATCAACAGTCTTACTTCCATGGTTCCGCTTTGTCATGCTTTATCTTACTTGGGCTGCGGGTGCATACATGACTTGAAGGAGGTTGCAGGTAGGCAAGCCCAAGGCTAAAGCGCGCGGCAAGTGTGCGTCGCGCACCAAGTACAAATCGCAAACGTCGCGCTGCTGGCGCCTCATTGATTACGCCAGCACCACTCTCAAATTCGCCGTCCCTGCTGTTCCCTATCCTTCGGCAGTCTCTGCTTCAGATTGTTGGCAGGACTGCAGGAATGCAGCAAGAAGGCTGTTGCCCGATGAATCTGCAGCAAAGTATGGAATGGCATGTGGAGGGAAGGGGGGGTCAGCGGACTGACTCCACAAGCTGGGACCAAGTCAGCGTGCCTATGTCATTGCACTTCTGGGCACTGTCTGTTTGCGAAAACATGGCTGAACGTTGCGTATGCGCCAAACAGCAGATGCAACTTGTCTTAACAAATATCCAAGAGTCAATGTGTTGGAGTACACGAATGCGGAGGTCAGAAGCGTCAATGCTGCCAGAACCTTTGCTTCACTGCAGCAGTTCATGCTGACTGCTGGCTCCCATTCCAGCAGCAAATTGATGAAGCATGCAACAATGACACCTGCAGGGGGCCCTCACCTCAGAAAAATGACGACTTCAATACACTAGATCTTTTCGTCGCTTCTGCGCTGCTGCTTACGGTACCAGGGCACCCTTGCCAACATTGCATTGCAACAATGCCATGACTGGTCTACCACGCAACAATCACTGAAAGGGTACCCGCAACTGGATGCTTCTGGCTCACCTCCTGCGGAAAAGGTCTCGCTAGGCACATCATAAGCACGGGCGTGCCGAAGACCATAATCCTTGGTCCGTCAGTCATCCAAAGGAACACCTTCTACCACACCCACTCCTTGCAGCATTGGCAGCATGAAAGGCAATGTCTCTTGCCTCTAGAGACTCTAGCAGTTCAGCGCCACACACGCTTAAAGAGTAGAGCTGCAGCTATTGACTGAAGCCTCTGTCACAACTCGTGTCAAAAGCAATGGCCTTCTCTCCTGCCACCTGTCTTTTGGCAGCAGGCCCTCGAAAGCCAACTCCCGTCTCCAGGGTTGTCATTTGCAGAATCAAGGTCAACATATGAGCAGCTACCTAAATTATTAGTAAACAGCTAAGTAAAAAAGCGCTTTGGGGGCCTTATCGCTTTACGGGGTTTTTGCACACTGCTGCCATCCATTTCGGGGGTATCGTTTTTGGGGGGTGCCCTATTGCTTTACTAGGGTTTTGCTCATGTCCCTGGATTCTATCTCTGCCTGCTCTTGGCTCCTAGACGATAATAGATGCGGTCGCTCATATGCGTTGGCCTTGCTTAGTGCAATTTAATGAATAATGCCAGCAAGCGTACAAACGCTTGTCAATCGCAAAACCCGCTACGGCCTTGCGTCATTATCACAGCATTGGCTGCCTACTTCCTTCGCAATAGAAAAACGAATGCTGCACTGAACCCCGGTCGCGATGGCACTGCGCAACAGAAAGCCGCCCAACAGGTGTAGATCCTCCTGGATCATGAAAAACACAAAGTCATCCATCAAGACCCGTGGCTGACAACATTGCTAGAACATGGAAGTTTCCCTAAATTACTGTTCCCAAAATGGGGGAAATCTATATAGGGCCCCGTATTATAACAGGAACCTAAATATAGGACCCCGTATTGACAGTAATTCAGGACAATCCCCACATGATACTCGCAGCACAGGTAGTCGGCTGCACACTCATCTGACAAAGCCCAGGGCCTCCGATTATGAGTAGCACTTGCTGGCAAACCGCTGAGCTCAACGTCAGCCACTAGAGAGAGTTGTCCGCGAATTCAGAAGCTTGCAAGCATGCATGGGCAGAGACTCCTGGAAGACGCAGTGAGCTTGTGGGTGGGTAGAACCTCACGCAGGTAAGGCTGCTTGGCACAAGGCTGCGATCCAGAGACCCAGGTGTGATTCAAAAAAAATGTAATTTAAGTGACTGCATCTTAGCTTGCACTGCATTCTCATCTCTGCGGTCAGTGTGTTTTGAACCTTCAGCGATATCTGCTTTATCCGTCTGAGGTGCAGCCTTGGCGAGACGTTTTGCTAAGCATGCCTTCTGTCGTGGCAAAGGAATCTTGATGTGTCCTAGCATTCCTAGCAAGAAGATGCCCTGCTTGTTCTAATTGTCAAGAACGACAGCTTGAGCCCGAAAGCTATCCTCAGGGGCTTGTGAATGGGGACTACAAGTACCATCTTATTGACTTGTTGTGCGTGATTTTGCGGTATCCATTTTGATCTTCCTTGTGAGCGACTGTGTCTTTCTACTCTAGCTGCTGTGTGCTTGTATGGCTTGTCGGCACAGTGCGTCTGAGACATGCGTGCTAGCTTTGCCTTTCGCAGCTTTCCGCTTTAGAGCAACATCTAGTGAATCTAGTGGTCACAGCCCACTGAAAGAAGCCCGAAACATAGCCCGGGATGCATAAATTTTGAGGAAGCTTTCGCCCTCCATCCCCAATTCGGCTGGGTGCTGGCAGTCGGTCGATGAATGGCTGCAGGATGTCCACCTGATCTGGATCCTTTGCTGCAGGTGGAGCCGCACACTTTGCACATTCCCCCCCTTCAAGATCCTTCAAGGCATACTCCATCATACTCCATTTCATCTTCGAGAATCTACAGGAAACTTGCACCACAAATGCTTGCCTCACCTTGACTTATCGAATCCCCCTCATCATCCAGAAGCCTCCAGATTGCCAACTGTTGCCAAGCAGCTGTTGAGATGGAACATTCCGGCTCTGACTCGCCGACGAGCGCCTCAGAATCTTCACAACTAGGATTGGCCTGGCATTGTTTTCTAAGTCAACTAAATGCTACGCATCACATTTGCGTGCCAACCGAGGCGGGAGGCCTCAAACATTTACATCCAGACCCAGAAAAGAATAAGTTTAACCCAGCCCCTACCCCTCCCAGAGCGCACGATCTGGAGAGGGGGGGTCAGCGTGGATTTTCGGATTTCCGGTCCGAAATGCAGAGTCCTCCAGGCACGACGCCAAACACGATTTTGGGGGGCTGGGAGGCGGGGAGAGGGGAGAGGGGGGTGGAGGGAGGGGCGGGGAGGGGGGGGAGGGGAGGCTGAGAAGAGATTCGGGAAAGCTGGACAGCGAGAGCTGCGGTGCAGGTTGGACGAGCTCTGTTCAAAATCAGGATGAAACAACGCTAACGTTCGGAGGTCAGAACTCTTTAACCACTCCCTTGCGCTCGAGCTCAGTCAGCTGCGCTCCACGCTGACCCTCAACTGCCAGCCCTAGCCTCCACTACCTTTGCCGAGGTGGTCTCGCGTTTGCGATAAAATCAAACAATCCCAACAACCGCTGCTGAGTCTCTTCATGTTTCCCAGATCTTTGCCAAATTTTCACAAAAATGCTCGATGTTCGCAAAAATCGGAAGATTTTCACATTAAGCGGCAGATGTTCGTAAAAATCGGTAGATTTTCAGAAAAAAATCACATTAGATATGCGTAGAAATTGTAAGATTTTTGCACTGATCGGCAGATTCTTGAAAAAAAATCTGCATACACTGCAGCCAACAGCATTGCGCCGATACAAAGCTACCCGATCTGGGAAGGCGTCCGCAAAAACTCGCAACGCGCGCACTGTGAAATGCCCAGCCTCCGACATCCAGCTGCCAGACACAAATTGTTCTGAAACTTGCCTTACTCGCATATTGAAGCTACTTGTGATAGCTTTCGAGAATTTACAACCTGCTTCTGTGACAACAGGGCAGGGCATCCTGCTCAAAGGCAGAGAAGATGCCTCATCACTGTCGCAGGTCTTCTTGTACTTGTCCTCTACAGTCAGGCACATGCTCACCAGCCTGAGCTCACTTGACGCAGTATGCCGCGGTGTCTGATAGGCTTGGGGCTGCAACGTGGTGTGCTTCTTCCAGTGCTGTACCCCAGGCTTCAGGTGCCAAAACCATCACAACCAGATCATGCCCAGGGACACTGTAAGCCCCAAAAGTGCGGCGACTAACACCGCTGGGTAGGCCACCGCGCAGAGGAAGCTGGTCATGGTAATGCCTTGGCTAAAATCTCTTGGAACGGGGAGGGCCTACATGGGTCTTTGGCAGGCACTTTAACCCAACTCGAAAGCAGCAACTTTTGACTGTCAAGCCCTGTCAGTACATGCGCATGATTTGAAGAGCGGCCTTGCTGTCACCTGCAAGCTGCCTGGAGTGCAGAATTCACTTCGTTCCTTCCTTTCCTGCCTTAACTCCATCATTCACTCCGTTCCTTTTCTTCAGTGAAGTGAAGTGTAGAAGCCAATAACATAATGAAACAAACTAGGTGAGCAAAATAAGTTTGCTGTAACGAAACCCCCTCTTTGCACGGCATCAGCCAGGCCTCTGCGCAGTAGCGCCGTGAACAAGTGCTGCTCACCGTGAGACGGGGTTTTGCTTGAACTACTTCTCGTTTTGACAGCACGGCCCGATTTGTCATGAGCAAGGCATTGTTCCCGTCCTTGTGTAGATTTATATCTGGGCTTCACTACGGCTATGTTTGAACGCACCATCTTCACCTTGCACATCAAATGGCCATGCAGGGCTTCTTACGGAATATGGTTTCGTAGCCCCCGGCCAGCCTAACTCAGACAAAGCGATGGAGACACGTGCAAATCCAGGCTTGGTGCTTCTCACGGTGTGTGGAGACAGTGCTTGCTGAACGAGCCAGAACAAGGACCCGAGCACCGCATACCTTCCATGCAGCATGTGTGGTACGTACTGTGCCGCGCGTGCCTTTCTACAGTCTGGAATGGCCCCTGGCTTCGTCTGGTCCAGCTTGCACGTTGTTCATTTCAGTTGCTGGGTCTTCTGCAGGTTGCCACGTCTCACGTCTCTTCCAAGGGCGGGCCCTGGCTTTCAGCAAAATGGTTGGACCACGACGGGCTTGATCAGTCCAGGTACTGATGTAGGAGACATCGTTCCACCTTTCAGGGGCGGTACTGTAACTATGCAGCTCCTACATTACACGATGTCTATCCCTAGCGCCTCACGAGGTGCCACGGGCCGATGTTGGAAGTTACACCTGCGTCGGCAGAAGACATACGGGGGCAGCCTGATACATCCGTCAGCTGCAACATTTGGCGTAGAAATGCGTAGAACATCAAACCGTCCAGACCGGCTTCTAGAACATACCCTGGATTACCCAAATTTCTCTTCGCGGCCAGCCCAAAAGCCTCTTGTGCCTCCACGCAGAACAAACCTTGATGCCACGGTTGCCACAGACATACCATTACAATTTCCACGAACTGCTTCATAGTTGATTACGCAAGGCAGGATTGACTGAGAAGCCACAGCTAGACGAGGCATTTCAAAGAGTAGCCACATGATCAAGTACGCAATTCATGATCCGTGTCACGCAACTACAGCATTTGGCAGAAATCGCCACACTGCTCTACAAATGTCATGGCCCAGTCTACTACCCATCCAGCTTCTGATTTCAACAAACTGGACTTTGGCGAGACGTTTCCCCACAATCAAATGATAAGATGCTCCGCAAGCCCAGCACCTTTAACACCTCCCTGCTCCCAACGCCTGTCGGATGCCACTCACTGACCTTGATCCAGTTTCCTTCTGTACTCCACACGTCCGATCCTTGGAAAAAGACAGAAGAAGCTATTCCTTGCAGTCGGCACTGCTTGACACAAAAAACTCCAGAGCGTGAGCCAGCCTGGATCAAGATCCACGATGCCAAAGCTTGTTACAGCTTGTTGCGATATGTAGACAAACGATGACAAACGGACAAGCAGGTCGAGCATGTCTTATCCTTGTTAGGTTCCGCCTGATTCGCGGCAAACAATCACTGCTGTGGCTGGCACAGCGAAAGCAGGCAACTTAGACAAAGGGCTGTGCAACTGTCTTCCAGAACTTTCTCTAAGTCTCCTCTCGGCACTTGCTTGTCGAAATACACGTTGCCGTGGGCGTCGACAGAGAAGTCGGAGAACATGTCGAAGAACTGGTCGCAAACAGGCTGCGATTCTGTGAAGTGGGCTACGCAATGTGTTAGCCAGCCATTGAACACAGCAGGCTGTCAGCAGGATAGCATAATATGGACTCTGCACGTGTTCCACACATGCATCGGCCTCAAGACGCCAAAGCCATGAAAGCCAAGATCGAATCTAAGTCCCCTACCTTCTCTCGAAGGGACTGGCTGCCGTTTGCAACATGCAGGGCAGCACCGTGGCCAGCCTGTACCTAGGGTACACTATGTAGGCAGTTCCTACCGATGAGAGGCGAGTCAGGCGCACAAGTCGGGAACCAGAGGGCGGCATGTCCAGAACAGGCAGGAGGGTTGGTCAGAAAGAGCGTGGGGCGAGTCAAGAACAGGAAGGGGGCGAGCGAGAACGAACCGCCCCGCCGCAGCGGCTGCCTGAGCTTGCGTATGTAGACCGTGCTCCGCGTGCCAACTTAGGTAAGGCCACAGCATGAAGACACCTCACCGAAAATAAACCAAAATCGCGCAATGCCAACACAACATTAGCTACAAGAGTGCTTCACCATAGTTGCTGCCATGCTTGTTCGATTCTGTCCCCACCACTCCGGCCAGCACTGAGGATACGAGTCTGAGGCATGACTCACGTTTTCTCAAAGAAGGGTGGGAGTGCCGATGCGGGCACGATATGAGCTGAAACAACAAGGCAGGACAAAGCGGCCTGCAAAACGGCCGAAGGCACTCCAGATGCTGCTTGATCACCCAACTCCTGTTGGAGCCCGACGCGCTTGAAGGTGCTAAGGCATCTGTCAAGTACAAACGAAGCCTGATAGACCAAAGTGTCCACTGTCAAGACCCGAGGCAGCGTTGCTACGGCATCTGCTGTCTGATCATGAAAGCTGCTCTCTGATAAGCTTTCTGCTTTTGTGCCCTTGTCTTTTGCTCTAGTGCTTCTGTTGGTCTTGGGGCTTGTGTCTTTGCTTTTCCTGTGTCCTTGGGCCGGTGAAAACACATGTTGTGCCCGTGCTGCTGTAGCCTGGTGTCTCGTTTGCCTGTGGCCTGGTAGTGCTAAACCAATGCGATCCCTCAGCAATTCCTGAGGACAATGACTTGACGAACACATGCCACAGGCACTCCGTCCCTTATCAGCGTAGCCAGAAACCCATGCAAAGCTTGTGGCCAAACGCGGCCACAGACTGGTGGTATCAATGTTGGTTTCTCTATCGATAAACGTTTCAAAGGGGCATCAGTGTTGGGTTGTCGCCCATATCCAGCTCCTGCAGTGGAGACAATCTGTTTTCCCTCACATGAGATGCACCGGGCTACTCGTGCCTTGCCAGCATGCTGCAAAGGTTGAATAGAAGATTGCTGCACCATCCATTTCCGATGATAAAATGCCCTGCCACATCAACAGCACGAGTGTCCAAAGCTTCGCCAGACCTGTGGTCCCATCCGCAAGGCCGTCCCTTCTAAGTTAATCTTTGGGCAAAGGCTCCCGCCAACAGTCGCCAACGGTGCAGAAATTTAGCCTTTGCAGACTACACAGCGCAAAGTCGCAATGCCGAGCGGCTGTGGAAGCGTCCATGGCAGATTCCAGGTCGTGGACCTGGTACAGCTGTGAACTGGTGCCAAGGACACAGAACCTATTGCAAAAGCATCTGCATGAGCTTGTTCCCAAGGCCTGAGTTAGCAGCGCTTCGCTGCGCGCATGTGCGGCCTTCGACAGCTTGGGAAGGTCTGAGACGTGAGAGAACCAACATGATTGCTTCTGGGTTACCAATTCCTGCGAAAGCCGCCAGCTAGCCCAAAGGCGGGAATCGTGCTGCTGGCTGAGTTTGTGTGCCCAAAACGTACTGCGGGGCGTGTGCTCGAAACTGTGTGAACAGGACATCGAACGAGACGAGCTTCAATGCAAATTGAAAATCGCCACACATACCAGCAGCGTAATCATGGCTCAACGGAGCTTTTACGCTGGCAATCACGGAGAGTGGAAAATGCTGACCGCCATAGGTTTGCTTCAAGTGGGCAATGCTGGTGCCTCCGCATCCTCGCCTTCCTGCTCCTCTTGCTCCGCTTCCAGGCGGCTGGACAAACCTCGTATCCTGGTCAGCGTCGTCAGTTTCTAGTCACAAGCCTATGTCCTAGGAGTCCCTCCCTTACAAGACCTCGAGAAGAAACATCAACTTGCAGATCTTGCAGCTGGCAGGAGCGTCCTCTGTTTTGGCTTCGCTGCTGCCTGCATGAGGAAGACCGAAGAGTCCGCATCCCACTCTGGCACGTCACAAATGCCTGGGCAACCATGAAGCGGAGCCGCAAGCCATTCAACCGCAGCTCTCTTACTTCATAAGATCTCCACCCGTGCCCTGCGACAGCCTGGCCCCTGCTCATGAGGGACTTGTTTTCGCGTGCTGTCCCTTGTGTACACCTAGCCACCCTCCAATTTGCAAAGCGCGCTGTCGTTGATGGCAACCACCTGATCAACTGCGCAGTTGAGCTTGCAGCGCACACTAGTCCAGAGATTTCCAAGAGGAGTTCAGCATTGAATTGATGGAACTTCAGGGATCTGATCTTCAGGGCACGCATGCATCGGTGCCAAGTCCCAAGTCTTGGGGCGCGAGTTCCTCCGTCCCGTTTATTTCACATGACTGCGGGTCTCGGCCTGGATGATTGTCAGCAGACACGTTTGAAGTCGCATGGCCGTGTCTCAGGGAGGTGTCTTCACCTGCCAAAATCCAGAAACAATGATGATCTTAGTTGTCGAGGTATTGGAGGCAAGGAGCTCCTGATGATTCTGAAGTTTCAGAGCCGTGCTTGCTGACCTATGAAGGTCTTGCTGAGAAGCCCTTTCACTTTCAGACCAATGTTTGGGGAGCAAGTTGGAGCAAGCGAACACCTAACCAACAAACCGATGGAGGCAAAGAAAGTCCAACATGTCCATGCCAGGCCTCCGCGACGTGGCGGCTGTCTTGGCACCAGCACCCACGAGTAAGAGATTCAGTTATCGAATAAGAAAAAGGGATACTGCCCCGAAGCTGCTACGAGCTTGGGCCACATCTGCGAGGGGAGGCGGCTGGGTCCTGGTCCCCGCATGAGTTGCCACTGGAGACTGTGGAGTATGATGTCCCCTGCTAGCCCCAAGACCATTGCGCAGCCTCATCAGTGCATGCAGAGGTACGGAAAACTATGGAACAGGACGCTGCAAAGAAACACCTAGCAGCCAAGGCTCAACCTCATGAGACCCATGCGACCCTAGCCCTAGGCAAGGCACCGAAGGCTATCTCATCGGAGTCAATCGTCTCATCCAACCTTGCTTCTGCAAATCAAGGTCCAAGTTTCAAGGAAGCCTGACGGACCTGCTCGGGCTTGATTACCTTCCTCGCCCAACGAATGCTTGCATCCGCATGTAGCAAAACTATGCAAAACTTGTCTTGAAGGTGGGTCGCTTTTTGGGATTGAAGAGACCGGCCATACTGTTCGGTGTCTATGTTGTACTGGGAGCGTTGCAGAATGTAACTGAAATTAAAGTTAGGGTCACATGCGTCAGCAACGGCATGGTTTCACTTGCCCGCACAGGCCTCAGAACTGCTCTATTCCACTTCTTGCGACTTCTATCTGCTCAAAACCATCAATCACCTGCTGCCGAAGGAACTGCAGCCAGCTCTCGCCAGAAAAGACGGCAATGCCTTCACTCAGGCGCGCTGCCACTGAGCAGCATGTTTTTTTGTAGGCTTCAGCTACCCACTTTCTTGTCTGTCCCACCTAGATCAATCATGAACTCTCGGGCGCTATGCTAGTGCTGCTCTTGGGGCGCTCTGCCTCTTAGATAGAGTGATGGTTGCGGATACCAAATGCAACCCTGGGAGAACAGCGACCTCAGGCAGTATTATTGGGGAGCTTGTCACAAACATCCTCATCTGCACAGCACATGCAGTAGGGGAAGGAGCGAAGGTAGCAGCAAAGCCCAGACCTGCCTCCCCGAGCTGAGGGCGGTCCCAGCTCTGACTGTGCTGCAGCCTGCGTGGCGAGTTGCTGTTGAAAATCTATCCACCTGCCGCTGTGCTCCCGCACGCTTATGGCCATGCAACGTCTTTGTTGGTGACCAGCTTCCTGGATAATGCAGTGTGCTTGGTGGCATCTCGCCTGCTGCTTTCGCAGTGTCAGCTGGGGCTGGCCACAACAAGATCCCACATGCCCGACACAGTGCCAGATAAAGAAAACATAACGTCTGCAAATGACAAAGCACCTTCTGACCAATGCAAGATGTGCCTGCCGCGAACGTGCCCGCAGGGCATCGAGCTGCTCTCGATCCGAAATCCTACATTCTGGGTGGTGTCCTGCTTTCGCACTCCCTGACTGGTAAGCTGCCGAAACCTGAGCACGCGGCGCACTCGCTGTCTTGCTCGGTGCTGCGTTGCTCGCACCTTGGGGCCTCAGGATGCATTGAGGGGTTTGGCTGCTCGCCTGTGCAAGTGCTGGAACACCGCTGAACGTGACTTATACGCGGGATGCTATTTGTGCTGGTAGGATGTGCCTTCATTCAATTGGGCTGGCAATTTCAGGTCTCCCTTGTGTCGCGGCGGGCCCTGTCTAGGCTCTCTCGTGACGGCACCGTGCCACAAGCCATCGATCACATCGACTGTGGCCGGCGGGGGTAACGGGAACCATTTTGGCCGTAACGGGAACCAGTTTTCCGGACTCGTGATACCAGCCGGGACTGTAACAGAAACCGCAGCCAAAACGTAACCGAAACCATGCCGCCAAGCAGCCGAAACCGAAACCGGAACCGAACTCCCGGAGCCCAAAACTCGCAAAGTGGGGGACCAAAATCAGTCCCTCTCTAGCCCAACTTTTCTGCAACTTGCTTGTACCTCGTTCTACTCATATTCTGCTTGAGCTACCGCTAGTGCTACTTCTACACTATTTGTTGCTTGTTGCAACTTGCTTGTACCTCATTCTAGTCATTGTTATGCTCGTACTGGCACTAGTACTACTTCTACACTCCTTCTTACGTCCTGAACCTAAACCTTGAACCCCTAAACCCTAAATTCCAAGCCAGAGCTTTGGATCTTCACCCTCCAAGGGTCAGGGCTGGATCAAGGGTATTCATTCATTATAGGGATAACGAAGGTTGTTATATGCTTTTTGTGGGCTACAAGTACCATTACTAATATTCCTGCGACTCCAAGGTATGATGGTAGCTAGTACCTAAGCCCTAAAAACCCTCAACACTAAACTCCAAGCCAGAGCTTTAGATCTTCACCCTCCAATGGTCAGGGCTGGTCAGGGTTTGGGGTCGAAGGGTCAGGGTTTATGGCTTTAGGCTCTGGATCAACGGGACTTCCTCATTATAGGGATAACATCTAACAGAAGTTGCTATACACTTGCTAGGGGCTAGAAGTACACTTACTAATTCCGGTTGACCTTCCAAGTCAAGCAGAATCGCGAGCCCCCAGCCCAAGTAGGGACTACAATATGTTGGTCCCAGTTTTATAAACTACCCTTTCGAAGCCCAAAAACTTGGATCCAAGAACCCTAAACCTTAAACCCTAAACCCTGAATTTCACGTGTGTGCTCTTGTTTCAGAATGATAAGTTGATACTTGGGCTGTGGCTTGGTTTCAGGTTGGTAGGAAACCTGAAATGCCCGACAAAATTTATCTAAAGGGGGACTGAAAATCGGTCCCCCTTTGGCAGAGTCCGAAGAAGATAGTTTTAGCCAGTCTCAACACATCTGGGTCTTCCGAAGCCCTGGCCGGTTCCCGTTACGCAGGGCCCAGCAGCCCTGTCACGGAAACCGGCCGGTTCCTGTTCCGGAATTGCGGCCAGTTCCTGTTCTACTCCACTGTTACAGACAATCGGTTCCTGTCACTTCCAATCCTCGACTGTAACAGAACATGATGACCATGCCGCAATGGAACCTTGCCGGCTCTCCCCAAAAACCGCACCCCCTCCATTCCTTGAGAGCCTCTGCTTATAAGTTCCAGATGGCTTGAGAACCTGTAGCATTTTTTTGTTTTTCGCACGTTTTTGAAAAATCAAATATCTCGATATCTGGGTCCCGCGCAATGGTAGCGGGGAGCTCTCTGATGGCCACCCACCCGCAGCGGTCTTGGCCAGATGCGCATTAGCTGTCACGAAAATATCTGCAGACCAGCAGCACTGCGAAAGTACAATTGTGCTGTCAAAGAATTGCTTTTCTGCAACTGTTGTGGGCATGGCTGCAATCTTGGAAATCTTATGCACACACACCTTGAACTGAGCATATCTGGGCGTCAAAAAGCTTGAAACCTGTCAGCGTAGCTGGATTGCCTAACCTACCAGAATCTGCCAGAGCTGGCATAGTTGTAAGTCTTTGTGGAAACAAGCTGCCTTCACCACGGGGAGCGGCACTTGTAATGCTTCTTCGGCTGCCTAACAGGGCAAGAGCTGCACACTGCCTTCCTAGCAGAACGTAGCTTGAAGACATGTGAATCATGTGAACACTCCGAAATGCAAAACAACACGAAGAGAACAAATCATTTCAGAACTCAAGTTCTAGCTGATTCTAGCTCAACCCAGACCCGCCAGCCAAACGGCTTGCAGTAATTCGTCTTGCGAGGTCTTCAAATTTGAGCTTTGCTGGAACCGCCTGTAGTCAATGATTTCCCTGAGTGAGCTTGGAAAGATACACCACCCAGTCGGCCTTAAGCAGCGCCACCCGCTCCTGCCAGAATGTTCAGCTAGAAGCACAAGCCAAAACACTGCGGGCAAACAACAATCGCTAGTAAGCGGGGTGTTTGCTCAAAGGCCCCGACTTGAACCCTGACCGGCCCTGACCCTCTCGAGTTCTGAACGCCAGGGTCCAGGCCCATCTTCCGCGCACCAGTCTAAAAGACGCTACCACAATGGCCATGGGAAGTTGGGCTCGGTTTCGGTCATTCACAAATCATGCGAATGCATAACCATAGTCTGTAGCAGGGAATTTGCTTATCAGTGGATGCCCCCTGCTCTTAGCTGGAACTGCTCCAGCCGTAGGCCTCACCCTACGTACCAGATTCGAGAAAACAGTTTTAAGCTTTCACCTTACGAGTTTGGGTTGCCATTGCGCTTTCATGTGCGTTGCTGCAAGGGCATCTTCGGTCTCCCGGATTTCTAGTGGGTCTATGGAGGGCTGTGTGGTGGTCGGGCTTGGGGCTCGGAATGCCCCAAGAGTCGCAGGGTCTGAAAGGCCCTCGCTAGAAAGTTCACAATGATACACGGTCAATACACGGGCTGGCTGCGGCGATGCGAAGATTGAACAACTTCTACTTGGTTGCTCTTCGACTTTATGCCCATGAAATTTCATGTTAGGTCCAAAAAACTGGAAGGACAAAAAACAGTGTTATAGTGCTAAAGTCGTGGAAAGTTCACAGAGTCTTTCTCGGGTTGGAAAGACATCCCACAATTGGCCTTCTTCTAAACTGGGTGCGAGCATGCTGACAACAGGGCCCACCACGATTCCTCCAACATGTACTGTCAACAGCGTTCCAACATCGTTGCCGTTACGTCTCTCCCCCTCAACCTCCTCATGCTCTCTCCTCGTGCTACATTCAGAACCGCCTGCACCAGCACCAACAGCAAGGCGAGCAACGCCAACGCTGCCACCACTACCGCCACGCCAGCAGTACTAAGCTCCAATAAACATCTGGCATTTGGATTCTCCTCGTCGCTCATGCCC